AGTACAACGTGATTGCAAAAGCCTCGTGTGCTTAAACGGCCGATGTGCTGGTAGGTAGCATATTCTATCTAAAAATGCAATACAAGTCCTGTTTTCATAGCTCCGACATGTAGTGATAACGTCAAAAACCAAGGCGAGACTGATGTCGATTGTGGAGGTCCATGTGTGGCGATTGGCAAGCGCTGTAATGATGCCAGAGTGTGTCAAGTACAACGCGATTGCAAAAGCTTCATGTGCTTAAACGGCCACTGTGCTGGTAAGCATTCTGTTCTATCTAGAAATGCAAAAAATATCTTGTTTTCATAGCTCCGACATGTTATGATCGTGCCAGAAATCAAGATGAGACTGATATTGACTGCGGAGGTCTATGTGTAGCGATTGGCAAGCGCTGCAATACTGGCAAAGTGTGTAAAGTACAACGCGATTGCAAAAGCCTCGTGTGCTTAAATGGTCGATGTGCTGGTAATCATTCTGTTCTATCTAGAAATGCAAAAAATATCTTGCTTTCGTAGCTCCGACCTGTTATGATCGTGTCAAAAACCAAGCCGAGACTGATGTCGATTGCGGAGGTCCATGTTGGAGCATTGGCAAGGGTTGTAATGATGGCAGAATGTGTAAAGTACAACGTGATTGCAAAAGCCTCGTGTGCTTAAACGGCCGATGTGCTGGTAGGTAGCATGTTCTATCTAAAAATGCAATACAAGTCCTGTTTTCATAGTTCCGACATGCAGCGACCGTGTGAAAAACCAAGGCGAGACTGATATTGACTGCGGAGGTCCATGTGTGGTCATTGGCAAGCGCTGTAATGATGGCAGAGTGTGTACAGTATAACGTGATTGCAAAAGTCTCGCATGCTTAAACAGTCGATGTGTTGGTAGGTACTCTGTTATCTCTAGAAATGCAACAAATATCTTGTTTTCATAGCTCCGACATGTTATGATCGTGCCAGAAATCAAAATGAGACTGATATTGACTGCGGAGGTCTATGTGTAGGGATTGATGAATGTTAAGCACGGGAATGTTAAGCACGGAATGTTAAGCACGGAATGTTAAGCACGGGAATGTTCAGCACAAGGAATAATCAGCACAATGATTTTTCAGCACGTAGAAAAATTAGACTATATATAATTTCTCGAATATTTAGAAACACAAATTTAGACATAATTAAACAACAACATACAAAAAGCACAAATAGAATTACAATGAAATATTGTAAGCAATTGCATTGATTTGTGCCAAAATATCTGCATGTGGGTTTGATATAACATTTAATAAACGTTGTTCAAAACGTATATTTTTGTTTTGTTTTTGTGGTTGTCCAGCTTTAATTTGTAATATATTAGCATGAACTGCATGTTCTTCATCAAGTAATTTTTGTAGAAAAACCCATAACGTTGGGTGTGCACATTGAAAAACTGAACCAATACGACGATGATAAGCTTCAGCGCTATTATTGGTGCGAATAGATGCTTGAGTGGTTCTGTTATACATATTCCAAAAAGCAATGCTAAATAATGGTTTTCTTCTAATGTTATTTCGTCGAATACAACCTGAAACAACAAAACCTGATGACACTAAATTGACGAAAAAACAACTTACCGATATACGTTTCTTCGAAATAATCAAGAATTAATTCATAATCATCTCCTAGTTCCATTGACAATGCTTCAAATCCATTGATCACTTGATTTAATTGTAAAAATGTTAATGCTACTATCTTATGAATATTGTGTGCAAATAAGGAATCATCTTGATATTTTGTTTGATGTCCGAGTGCCTAAATTCAAAAAAATATTGGATTAATATGTATATGTGGTTCATTATTATGAATTTTCTTTTACCTGTATTTTACGATGCACACTCTGTCTTAGATGAAAATAACAGCCTGATAATGCAACATTTGGAAAACTTGTTTGATAAACTTTAACACAGGCTTGTTCGAAGTCTAACATTATCGTTTGTGGAAGCCAATGTGGTGCAAATTTAAGAATTTCATTAATTAAACGTTTGTATGTATCAGCATCTTTTCGACGAAGTAATGCATAAACCACAGGAATTACATGTTGACGATAAATAGAATAAATAATATAAAGTTGATAGAATATTTCGGGAACAACTTTAAACGTTCCATCTACTAAAAAATCTTGTGTTGTCTGGAGAATATTAATTTGTTCGTCGCTGGAAAATATTAATATTCTATCATCACCTGCCACAGTTCACAAAAGAAAATACTTTATCAACACAATTAAATATATTCAGCAACTTACCAGGTCCTGTGTCACAACGTAAAAACTGATCTTCACGAATAGTTTTGGTTAATTGAGCAGGAACAGTTGTAAAATTTGGATCATTTGGTGCTTGAATAATAGCATTTTCTTGCCGCAACTTTCTAATTCTTCGTTTAATATTATCACGTGTTGGTAAACGAGCTAATGCTGGATCAGACAGTCCTAAAAATAAAAATCTATATGTTATCAAAAGTTACTGTTAAAAATCGAGCAATTCTACCTTTATAACAATGTGTAATAATAGTATCAGGTGGTTCTTGAGTATTAAGTGTACGAGAAATGATTTGGTCATCAAATTTACGACATTCAAGTGTTGTACCATCAAATGTACATGTATGATCTGTTGGTGATTTAACAATATTGTTTGTAATAATGCATGTATGAAGACGAGATCGGCAATGATGTGAATAAAATTTTATACAACGCCAATAAGTTTTTACACTTGTTGATCTGTCCATTACATATGAGTATCCATTAAGATCTAATCGTGGTTTTTGTTTTGTTGTGCCACTATTAGATATTGTTGCCATATTGAAGAATAGATATGTGTATTGAGAAAAGTGTTCTGTTATGAATTGAGTCAAGAAGATATTCTTTCTTATGAATTTAATAAGTAATTGGATCACCTTAAGACCAGTAATTAATGTTTGTGATTCAATTTTGTAACTAATTACAATTCTGTATGTCATTTCTTTTATCTAATGGACTAAAAATTTAAGCTGATTTTTCTATGTGCAGAATAATCATTGTGCTGATTATTCCTTGTGCTGAATATTCCCGTGCTTAAAATTCCGTGCTTAACATTCCGTGCTTAACATTCCCGTGCTTAACATTCCGGTTCCCAATCAAACTATTATTCTTATAAGAGGAATCCTTCAATTGATTAATCAATTTTGATTCGAGACTATATACATCATGTAAACCCATAATGAGCTATGGTTACCCTTCAAAGAGTTCAGGTTTT